TTTATTTCAAGGCCGGATCCAGCCCGTGGGCCGTAGTTTGCCCACGGCTGGTCTATGCCAACTTGTAATATCAGCTCAGGAAATCTCAAGGAAGGGCTGTCGTGTTGAGCATCCCTCCTCGCTTCTTTATATCAGGTCTAAGGGAGGTGAGATCCTTAGTCTGAAGGTCTAGCCACCAGTCAGCAAAAGGGGATGGTGCCAACCCCTATAAGTAGCCAAGGTGAGGAGCTTGACTGACAACTGGGGGAAAAAACGAACTCAGGACACAAAGCACCCCTCACTAAGCTCTCAGCATGGGATGACCCCTGTTAGGGAGGTGGACTGAGGCTCCCCTCCAGTTCCTTCTCTTAGGTCCCAGGGAAAGTTAAAATATCAATGTCAGAGTAGCAGAAGGAAGGGTGCCCAGCTTCTATTCAGAGTTGAAATGATAACACTGAAGATGAACTGAGAGGACCCCACATCCCAAACAAAGGGAGCCACACTGACATCACCCATTGTCACCTGAGTAAACTCAAGGCAGGGCTGGTAGCACGTAGTGGGCTACTCACTCTAAAGATTCTCTGGTTTCTCTGTGGGGCTCATAGGGGACAGAATGATCAGAAGAACAGGAGCCTTGGGGGCTGGTAAAAGAGTGCCTTAAAGGAAGCCTGTATAGGCAACCTTCAACAGACCCCAGGTGGAATCTGCCTGTTGAAGGTGCTCACAGCAAATGTGTCTCCATTCCCTCAGGTGCCCAAAGCAGCTGTCCATTGGCTCACTACTGTCTGCTGTCCTGAACAACAGCCATCATGCCTCGTGGTCATAAGAGCAAGCTCCGTGCTCAGGAGAAACGCCGCCAAAACAGAGCTGAGAAACAAGGTGATAAGAGTGCTCAGGCCCCTGCAGGAGAGGAAGAAGAGGTCGCTTGCTCCTCCTCTTCCGTTTTGGGGGAAGGTCCCTCAACCTCCACTGGTGCTGGCACTCTCCAGGCACCTCAGGGTACCCCAGCCACCACCAGTGCAGCTGCAGGAGCTTCCTGTGAAAGATCTGCTGTAGAAGCCGAAGGCCAAGTTCAGCAAAGTAAAAAATCCCCCCAGGCCTCAACCTCTGCTGAGAGTTCTGGCAAACGTCTACTAAGTAAGAAGGCGACTATGTTGGTAGAGTACCTGCTGTATCAATATAAAAGAAACCAGCCCATTAAAAAGAGAGATATGCTGAAGATCATCCACAAGTGGTTCAGGAAGGACTTCCCTGAGATCCTCGAGAGGGCCTCTGAACGCATGGATCTGTTCTTTGGCTTGGAATTGAAAGAAGTTGAGCCCAACGGTAATACCTACACCCTTGTCATCATTCAAGATGAGAGTCTGAGCAGCGGCTTCAGATTTCCTAACAAAGGGCTTCTGATGCCTGTACTGGGTTTTATCTTGTTGAATGGCAACCGTGTCTCTGAGGCAGACACCTGGGTATTCCTGAATACTTTGGGTATCTTTGATGGAAAGAGTCACTTAATATTTGGGGAGCCCAGGAAGCTTATCACCCAAGATTTGGTGCAGGAAAAATACCTGGTGTACCAGCCAGTGCCCAACAGTGATCCTCCACGCTATGAGTTCCTGTGGGGTCCTAGAGCCCACGCTGAGACCAGCAAGATGAAAGTCCTCGAGTTTTGGGCTGAGCTCAATGATACTGTCCCCACTACCTTTGCGCTGCATTATGAAGAAGCTTTGAAAGATGAGGAAGAGAGAGCCAGAGCCGAAGCTGCACCCACGGATGCCACTTCTCTCGAGGCCACATCTAGCTGCTACCCTCAACCTGAGTGACATTGGGGTGGAGTCTTCACTTTTGGGCTGTAAAGGCCTGTTAAGCAGTTTCCGATATGCAAAATATCTTGATGAGTTATATTTGTGTATTTTTCTTTCATTTTCAAGTGATGTTCTTTTAGAATGTTTCTTTAGATTTAGGATATAAGTTTATGAATGAAATGGATCTCACATTTATTGCTGTTCATCAAGTTAGGGGTAAAAGTGTTGTTTTTGAAATAGAAATTGGAAATCCTTCAATCACTTTTGTGATCTAGGACAAGATAATATAGATTTAGGATAGGAATATATTTTGGGATGTGAAAGAACTTTAAAGTAGTTGGGAACAGCAGATGGATAGATACATAGATGGATAGATAGATAAAATAAAAATTGTCCACTTCTGTTTTATTTTTTTTTTCACTTAACAGTTGTAATACAATGTTATAGTAGTTTCAGGCTTGCAACAGAGTGATTAGACATTTATATGAATTAAAAGTGTTGCCCTAGCCGGTTTGTCTCAGTGGTTAGAGCATTGACCCTCAGATTGAAGAATCAAGGATTTAATTCTGGTCAAGGGCCTGTACCTCAGTTGCAGGTTCAATTCCCAGCCCTGTCAGAGAGTCAGCTGGAGGCAAGGGATCAGTCTCTCTCTCTCTCTCTCTCTCTCTCTTTCTCTCTCTCTCTCTCTCCCCGCCCCCCTTAAAAAATTCCACTGTCTCTAAAAAAAATCCACTCTAAAAAATTCAATGGAAAAATATGCTCGGGTGAGGATTAACAAAAATACAATGTTCTCACCATAAGTCTAGTACACATCTGAACCATACATAGATATTAAAATGTTACTGCCTATATTACCTATCCTGTACCCAGCATTATCTGTTACAGCCAAGACATGAAAGCAAACTGAGTGTCCATCTATCGTTTTTTTTGTTTGGTAAATTTGTAAGATATATACCAGGATTTCCTGATGTTATTCAAGAATGTTTGAGAATATAAGTCCTCTTAATTCATAGCTTTTATGTTACACAACCATTAATTGAGCATCAGCTCTTTGGAAGTCTTCCTGTTCGCATGGGGAATGTTTAGGCAAAGAAGACCATGTACCTGCCCATGCAATTATACATTGTAGGAGAAGCTATAAATATAAAAGAGGGTGATATATTCTCCACTTCTTAAAGAACAAGTGAAAAGGAGTGTAAATAGTGGGTGGAGATAGCGTATTACTTAGTTTCCATTGCTAAGCAGAAGTTAGATACATTGGGAGGTCAATGGGAAATCTGGGGACACATCCAGTAGCTTTTCTCAGCCTGATTGAGGTCTGAGTTGAAATCTCCACATTGTGGTTGGAAATGCTTGTTGACCATTATTCTTGATGTGCAAAAATACTTTGTTGACTTATTTCTTAGGTAATTTTCAAGTAGTATTGTTAAAAAAAAAGAAAGTTTATCTAGATTGAGAATATAAGTGAAGTGATAACTCTACCCCATGTTCTTTGCAACATTATTTACAGTTGCCAGGACATGGAAACAACCAAACTGCACATTGATCTGTGAATGGATACAGGAAAAGCGATACACACGCACTCATACACACATAGAAAAGGATCTATCATTCAGCCATAATAAAGAAAGAAATCCTGCCACTTGCAACAGCATGTGCAGAACTGGAGGGCATTATGCTAAATTAAATAAGTGGTCGTTTTCAAGCAGTGTTCTTTCCACAAAAAGTTTTCAACACAGAGAGAAGAACAAATGCTGTATGGTATCGCTTACATGTGTAATCTTTAAGAGGAAAAAAACACAGAAATTAACACATAGATACACAGAACAGACTGGTGTTTACCAGAAACAAGGAGTGGAAGGTAGGCGAAATGGGTGAAGGTGGCCAAAAGGTACAAATTCAGCTATAAAATAAGGCCCAGGGATGTAATGTACAGAATAAACTTTAATAGTCAATGATAGTATTGGATCAGTAAAAGTAGCCAAGAGAGTATATCCTAATAGATTAATTACAGGAAGGAAAATCTGTGAATAAAAACATTTACACAGCATGGATGGACCTGGAGCGCATTATGCTAAGCAAAATAAGCCAGTCCAAGAAACATAAGTATCACATGATCTCACGCATATGTGGAATCTAATGAACCAAATAAACTGAGAAACAAAAATAGTCCCAGAGATGTAGAAGCATTAATATACTGTTGA